AAATAGGAAACTGGGGGAAAGGCAGAGTTCTTTTAATAACTGGATGCTTAAATCTCAGTTCTCCTAGAGGGAGCAACTGATACCTTATTTGGGGGATATTTAATAGATATTTTGAAATTAACTAAAGCAATAGCTCAGTCCCCAACCCAGGCCAACTCCTGCTTTGTACAGAAAGATCCACCCTTCATGTAGTTTGATAAAAGAGGAAAGTGTGAGCCTTTTCTGAAGGAACATTTTTTTTTATTTCATTCTTCACTGATTACATATCTAGCAGTTCTAACCTAAAATCAGAAATAATGAGGTATATAAATAAGCAGGAATAGATGACCCATAATCGAGAAAAAGAACCAATAGTGAAGGGTGGTCAAAATGTCAGAACTAGACAAGAACTTTAAAATACCATTTATACGTATATTCATTAATTTCTTAGGATACCTGGGAAAAATTAGTGAAAAGATGGAGAATTTTAACAGAGAAATGGTTAAAAAAAAAAAAGAATGGAAATTCTACACCTGAAGAGTAAATGAATTTAAAAAAGTAAGTAAGTGGGCCTAAGAGCAGATAGTGCACAGTTAAAAAGAAAGGATCAGTGAACTCGAGGATAGGACAATAAAAAATTACCCAAATTGAAACTAAGGGAGTGGGGAGGAGATAACAGAGTACCAGACCTGTGTGATGCATCAAATGAACTACTAAACAGGTATAATTGGAATTCCAGAAGGAAACTAGAGAAAAGTAGTGAAGAAATGAATGACCTAGTAGTTTTCAAACTCAGTAAAAAACATTAAACTAACATATAAAAAGCTTAGCAAACCCCAAAGCTTTATGTAAATGAAACCCTGCCTAATACATCTTAATTAAACTAAAGAAAATGAAACCTAAAAATGAATGGTAAAAGCAGTCAAGTGAAAAAATGTATTACATTCAGGGGAATAACAATAGGAATGATGGCTACCTTCGCATAAGAAACAATAGACTGAACCCTGCCTGGTGTGGCTCAGTGGATTGAGCACAGGCCTGCAAAGCAAGGGGTCACTGTTTCGATTTCTAGTCAGGGCACATGCCTGGATTGCGGGCCAGGTCCCCAGTAGGGGTTGCACGAGAGGCAACCACTCATTGATGTTTCCCTCTCTTTCTCCCTCCCTTCCCCTCTAAAAATATATAAATAAAATCTTTAAAAAAAAGAAACAATGGAATGAAATAAAGTGCTGAAAGAAAATGGCTATCAACCTAGATTTCAATACCTAGCAAAAATATTCTTCATAAATGATACCTACTAAAGACTTCTCAGGAAAAAAAAATAACATAGTCACCAGCAGACTTATCCTACAAGAGATTTTGTAGGAAAGATAAATGATCTCAGATGAAATTTTGGATCTGCAGAGAAGAATGAAAACCCTGGAAAGGATAAATGTACAGGTTCCAGCACAAATAATGACCCTTTTTATTACAAAACCACAAGCATGCAATTCTGTAACATAACAATATACACTCAAGCACACTATGACATTTTAGGTAAAGTGTTCAAATTAATACTATAAATTATTACATGCATATTATTACCCTACCAACTACACTCAAGCAGGCCTTACTTCCGCCTAATGCTGTACATCTAAATCTAAAAGACTAATTTTTCTAAAATTCTCAGAGACTATTGACTGTTTAAAACAGCTATATTGACAATATATTGTGGGATTTATAACATGTAGAAGTAAAATAAACCAACAGTAGCATAAAGGGTGGTAGGATAAATGAAATAATACTGTTTTAAGATGATTGTATTATTTGTGAAATGGAAAATCCTAATTTCATGCACACTGTAATGAAGATGTCTGTTGTACCTGTAGACTAACCATTAAAAATATAAGATATATATTGAAAAATTTAACCATACAGGATATATAATGTGGAATAGTAAAGATATTTTGTTGTTCCAAAAGAGTACAGAAAAGGAGGAAATAAAATAGCAAGATGACAAATTTAAACAGCCATACTTTAATTGCATCACATGTAAATAATACAAGCATTAAAAAGCAGAGGTTGTCAGACTAGACAATTTAGCAGTAAATATTTATAGACACATTGATTTTATATTTTTAAAAATTTATTGATAGATTGATTAACTCTATAGATGTTATATTTTCTTAAGTTCATTTTGAGGTATTCTGATTTTAAAATACTCCATCATAAATTGTGTATTTTAACTATACTTCTACATCATTAATATAGTTAGAGAACAAGTATTTAACTTAGAATATAAACATTGCAAATAACATTTTATTTAATGTTTCCCATGAAGTAAGTGTATTAGTCAGTGTTCTGCAGGAAAAGAGAACCAATACAGTGTGCATGTAGATAGATTTATTTTAAGGAATTGGTTCACAGGATTATGGAGGCTGGGAAGTCCAAAATCTTCAGGCAGGCTGGCAGGCCAGACACTTAGGGAAGAGTTACAGATCAAGTTCAAAAGCTGTCTAATGACAAAAGTCCCTCTTTTTCAGAGAGGTCAGTCTTTTTTGAGGCTTCCAACTGATTGGATGAGACCTACCCACAATAGGGAGCATAATCTGCTTTACTCAAAGTCTATTGATATAAATGTTAACACCATCCAAAAACTACCTTCCCAGGAACATGTGGGATGTTGGACCATATATCTGGGTACCGTGGCCTAGCCAAGTTGACACACAAAAATGGCCCCCGCTGCAAGCTACTTATTATGAGCTTTCACCTTTATAAAGGTGAAATAAGGTACAAATATAGATAAATATAGGTTATTTAGGTAAAATTTATATAGAACAGAGCTATTTGGGGATATTTTAACTTAAACGTAACTTTCTATATAGTCTTCACTGAAAGTTTGAACAAGTATGTATGATTGTATTTCCAAATGGTATTATTTAAAACTAGGACTTAAAACTAAGATTATGTCTTTGGATAACCCACTTCTAAAACTTAATTTTTAACACATCCCAAAATTGGAACAGTTAATTATGTAGTTATTTTCTAATTTTATAAACAAAATATAGATTTCTTTGGATTCTTTTGTTTAATTTTCATCATTTTGAAGTTGCTTGTGATTGGTAAGAATTTTAAAATCAGTAATCGCTCTAGGTCAATCTGACAGCAGATGACAACAGTGAGGACACAGGCGTCATGCCAGACTGGTCCTAGTGGCTGCACTTAGGGAGAGTTGTGGGAACATGTGGGCTGGGGCAGAGAGGATTTCCCCATTTGTTCTGTATATACTTTGATATTATTAAAATCTTGCATTAAGAGTCCTGGCTGGTGTGTCTCAGTGGATTGAATGCCAGCCTGTGGACCAAACTGTCGCGGGTTCGATTCCCAGTCAGGGTGCGTGCCTGGGTTGCAGGCCAGGTCCCCAGTTGCGGGTGAGTGGGAGGTAACCACACATGGATGTTTCTCTCCTCCTCTTTCTCCCTACCTTCCCCTCTCTCTGAAGGTAAATAAATAAAATCTTAAAAAAAAAAAGAATTGGCATTATTTGAGTAGGGTGGGAGAGAGTGGTGGTGAGAAAATGGAGACAACTGTATTCGAACATTAAAAAAATTTTTTTAAATTAAAATTTCACTTTAAATAGAAAAAAGGAATTGTCATTATTTTAATATTTTATAATATATTTTACTCGGGTTTTTAAAAAATATTTTAAAATTCAAGGCCAGTGTTACTATATGAATAAAAAGGTGTCTGTGAAAATTACCTTGAAAATTGTTATTATACTTAATATAAAACTGTTTATTTGCTCTGTGGTACTTCTTCAGAAAAGGATATCTTTTTCTTTCATGCACTCTTGAGGTCAGAAATCATAATTTATCCTTTATAATTTATCTTTTATTACAGAGTACCAAGTAGCCACTCAGTATATATTAGTTGATTAAATAAAGGTGGTACTGTCCTTTATACTGCACTGGCTAATAATAGATGTTGAGAAAAATGTTTTTAATGAAACAAAAATTTTTTAATCATGTTTCATGGTACTTTGTTTATTTTTGTACTTTATTTTGAATATACTCTTGCAAGGTGACAAAAAGTGATTGTTTTGTGTTAATCTCAATCATACCTTAAGAAAAATAAGTTAAATGCCTGTAAATAAGAACTAATATTTTGTTTCAACTAGGAATTTTGCTAACTGCCACTAGCAGTACACTGCAGTCTCACTTCTAACCATCCCTGCCTGTGAGAGCCTTGAGGATTATTTGAACAAACTATTCTAAGATCCTAACTCACTGGTTTGCTGATGGACAGACTGTCAAGTAAATGAGATCCACACGTGTTCATTTTTAACTAGAGCTTGACTTTGAACCAGTATCTTTACAGATGAGATGCAGTGTGTTATATCCTTAGGAGGTGTTTATTACAGGGAAATGGAGTAAAGAACATTGGGAACAAAAAGATAAATCCTTACATGATAAAAGGATTTTTTTCAATTTATCAGTCAGTGTTATCATTTTAAAGGGAGAATCAAAGGGAATTTTAATTTTCCAGATACTCCATGGTAATTGAATAAATAATACAATGTGTCATAGTAGGAAGTCAGATCAAAGAGAAATTCAAATAGATTTATTTATTCTTTTTTAGAAAATAAGGAAGTGATTTCTTTTAGCTTTGGTGATATTTCTTTATGAAAACTTGATGACCTCGAGTCAGAAATAAATTTTCAAGGAAGAAATGCAGCAGGGCAGAGATAATGGTGTATGTATAATTTCTGAGCCGACAGCAGGAGGTGGACACGTTTTGCACTATTGCTGAAGGCCCCTGGAAGGGGGAAATTGGCCTATCTCACCTGAGGTCGAGTCTCTTAGCTAAACTCCCCAGCTGTTTGTGACCATAGAATCCATGATAGAATTTTAAAGGGCCCTGCCATGCAAGCGATGCTTTTTTTCCTTGTAAGCTGTAGGAGTCGTGTCTTACTGACATAAATGTTTTCAAAATAAAATGAACAGGTAAAATAAGCACATATTCACAGCCTTTTCTTTTCATAGGAACTATCAACACAGAAAAAATGCCTTGTAACCATCACGTAGATGCAGCACCAACGGTAAGACAATGTATTTCTGCTTTGTTAAAACTGGTAAGAAGCTGCACAGTGGTACTGGCTATAGTCATGACATTGTGGAAAACTCTTGTCACCTCCCTTTTGTCAGAAATTTATATCCTGTCAAGAAAGTGAACCTTATGTTTTCTAATTGATGAAGAAAATTTACTAATTTTTGCCAAGGTGTAAAAAAATAACATCTGTATCATTTTTATAGGTGCTTGTTAATATTAATGTTATAAACAGAACAGTTTTTAATTTAAAAATACCTCATACTTTTGACAAAGTAATGTAAATCTCTGTGCAAATTAATTTACACCCTTTCTAATATGAGTGTTATTTTGTGCACTAGCCTCATTTAGAGTGAATGTTTTGCAGCAGTGGAAGAAGGCCATTATGCTTCCATTTTCTTACAGATTACTGGGCTTCGTTATTATCCAAGTGAAGTCTTTTCTTTTATCCCTCTTATATTACTACCAGGCAACAAAAGGCATTTAACAATTGCAGTATCACTCAGTGTATTAAAAATAATTATAAAGATGATATAGAAAGAAAATGATTAAATTTTGTCCATGAATGTAATATTTACATGAAGTATATACCAGTTGGTAATTCCCACTTGAAAGATTTATGATGATATAGACCAGAGTATATCTTCCTCTTCACAAAGCATAATCTTATTTCTTGTCCTTGCTATTCATTAAGTACTTCCTACAACTCATCATTTCCTGCTGTTAGAAAAATTTGGTAATATCTAATATCTTTTTCAAGAAAATGAAGACAATATTCTACTGTATTTGAATTATATTGATAATATTTTCCTCAAAGGCAGATTGACTCCGATTTCTATTTGTAATAAATCCATATGAGTACTTCAACATATTTGATGACTTAGCAGTCTGTGGAGCTGCAGTAAAGACTGGTGTTTGAGGAACTGATCATCACTGTAATATTCAAAAATAGTTGGCTATCATGTGTGTTGCAATTATCCTTTAGTAGCCATAGCCTTAGGTACGTTTTATTCTTTAATATTTAAAATTAAAGATTAGCAATTAGAGAAAATAAATTATTTTGAAGTATTTGAATCATATATACATTGGGTTATTTTGCATCCTTTTGAAATTTGTGTTACTCCTTCAGGCATTCCTGTGGCACCGTGTTTCCGTTTCTGGAGAGATTTTTGTACATTCTGGAACTTAGAAAAGTGCATCCTGGCAGAGTGTTTTGTGTGTAGGCTGATTATAGATTCCCATGTTAATTAAGTGGTAAAATAATAGAACCGAATCGTCATGAACTCCTGAGAAATAATGGTATTAACATTCACAGTAGTGATCTCAAAATAACTCTAATGAATTAGGAACAATATCTAATAATAATAGTTTAGGTACTGTTGGTCTTTTGATTGTTTTTCCCATTTAGATTATAAATGTCAGTTTCTATTATATTAATAACATTTCTACTCTGTGCAGTCAGTTTTAATATACTCGGTGTATACAGGCCCTTCCGAGACACTCAGTTCTCCAGGTTTTGACTTGAGCCAAGTTTCCTTTTTACATTTTTTAAAGCTCTTCTCCTCTCTCTCTTTACTACAAACTATGTATATTCTACTACCCCTGTCCTCCCCAGTCCCCCACTTACTGACCGCTACCTTTGGCCCATTCTCCATAACCTCTAAATAGAATGTGTCCATTACTCAGTGTCCTGGAAGATAAAGTCTGATTTTCACAGAAAATACAATTTTACCTAATTTCCATCCTTTGCATCTATATGTTCTCATTTTCTTTAAAGGGATTAAGAGAAGAAAATATTTAGAGATGGAAGAAATGGGGAAAAGCTTGCCTAAAATTTTTTTTTAAATATTGTATTTATTTTTTAGAAAGAGGTCAAGGGAGGGTGAAAGACAGGGAGAGAGATTCTCATTCGTATGTGGTTTTCTCTCATGTGACCCCTACTGGGGACCTGGCCTGCAACCCAGGCATGTGCACTGACTAGGAATCAAACCTGTAACCCTTTGGTTCACAGGCCAGTGCTCAGTCCACTGAGCCATACCAGCTAAGGTTGTCTAAAATATTTATGGTGGGATATTTGTAAGTTCAAACTTTTTGTACTAGGTTGGCCTGAAAAGGAGAGATATTCCTGGAGTCTGAGAAAAAAATAGAAAGGGAGTTGGCTAGGATTTCAGAATGGCTGAGGCTGGGGCCCCAAGTGACTTCTTGACTTTGTACCTAACCAGCAATTTCTAGCTCACTTCTCTCTACACATTAGCATCCCAGTTCCCTTCTGCACTAAGTACCACCATGAATGCCTTGGGTCTAAGGGAGTGCAGGATACTAGCTACAACTATTCATCGGGTGACAGAAAAGACACTTTCTCAAACCTCAATAACAGGGAAAGGTGTGTGTCTTACATTCCAAGGTAGAATGAACTTTTTAGCGAATACGTGGTTGCAGAGGATAGTTCGGTTCTGTAGCACTGTAATATGATGGAGTATTCCTTAAGAAAATATAGGTTGTCCTGACATAAATCACCTGTGTATCTTTGTTCTGTGTTTTCTCTCATTCCCTTTTTAATTTACTTTTTAAAATTTATTATATGCACTCTAATATTTACATTTGGAAATTTTTCTTTCTGATGTAATTAATATCATATCTGCCTTTGATAGGAAGTAGAAAAAATGTCCCCACATGGCATTACCCCCTCCATCAAAAAGAAGCAAACCTTTCTTGTTTACTAGCTATAGTTACTCCTTACTTTTTTTTGCATTCTAAGTTCTTAACCTAGTTTATATCTAAGAGTACATTTTTAAGTTATATTTTTAAGAAATATAAATTGAAAGAGGTATGTTATCTGAGTCTACATATTTTATAGTATCTCTTAGTTGTCTTTGCATAAGACAGCTTGCCAGGATTTTTAATTATTTGTACATACCTTTTCCTCTCAAAGCACTGCAGAAATTGTTCGTCTTTGGCTTCTAGTATTCAGTAGTTCAGGAGAGACATTGGATATCAGTAGTTATTCTTTTGTATAGGTAGCTTGTTTTGCCTGCTCGTGTATTACAGATTTTCTTTTATTTATACCTAATGTCCTATTTCAAATTTAGTGGGTAAATTTGTGGCTTCCTTTTCACTGATTTTTGTTCTGAATGGTATTCCCTCAGACATTTTAGTATTGTAGGAAAAGCAAACAAAATATTAGACAATCATAATATTAAATTATATGAAAATAATTAGACCGTGCCACTTTAAGAACTAGTTGCTGCACCTACTCGTAGTCTCCAGCAAGTTAAGGATAATATCAGACTCAAATTAATCAAAGGTCACTGTCTGAACCCTGGAATACTGGTGTAAAAGTTAGTTAATAGTTAAGTAGATACTAGCTTGAGTCCCATATTTACCTTAAATGGACTCATTTGCATATCAAAGAGAAATAGTAACTAGCATAAGGAAGTCTTCCCTCACGTGTTTGATCTTTTCTTATTTGAGATTATTACATGAGGAATAAAGTTAAGCCCTGTAATTACAACCACGTGCACAGCAGTTCCCATAGCTCTTCCTGTTGTCTGGTGGAAATAAAACACAGTACACCGTGCTGAATATTATAAATAACTATGATTTGTGGAGAGTTGTTTTTGACTATTTTCCAGTGAAAACAGATACAGTAAAATTCAGATTGCATCAGTGTGGCCTGTTGTCATCAGTCATCCCTTTTTGTAAAGCTTCTTCAGTTCCAAAACTGTCACACTGACTAATACTGCTTCTCCCTTTTTACTTTATTAAGTGACTCCACAACCTCCACTAATAAGAACAGTATTCTTTTAACAAATAGATTTTTTGGCAGTTTATAAAACTGCAGCTGGCACTTCCACAGAAGCCTACACATCTACCGCAGCAGGCGGGAGCAGCGCCCAAGTCACCTCCTGGGACACTCAGCTACGGATCGCATCTGTCCAGGGGCTGCATTAATTATTAGGGATTAAAATGTCCTAGTTTGATTGGAAATTTAAATGTTGATTTATTATTCTTTCTCATTGTTAGACTAAGCAATTTACAAGCCATTCATTCATTCATTCTGCCAATTACACTTCTTCTAGGTTTTCTAAGGGCTTGATAGGTAAATTTTTGTCACCTAATTTTTCATCAGTAATAGACTTTAATGTGTTTTAGAGTGAAAATATATCTGAGATGTTCATGATATTGCTTGCCCTTAACAATAACTTTATTCATAAATGTACTTATCTGAATTCTACAAATTTAATTTTACTTTCGAGACTCTCAAATTTATGGTATCTGTACTTATTCCACTACATTTGAGTTGTTAGGTTGTTATTATTTAGCCCACTCTGTAGGTGCATTAAGATTGCTGCATATTGCATTATTACACATTAGTAGAATATATTCTATCCATATATTTATATAAAATATGTTTTTCACATTTTAGCATAATATTTGGGACAGCTTGTTTATGGATAAATTCATGAGTTCAAATAAAATGTCTTTGATCCAAAGGAAGCACTTTATTTTCTTCAGTTTGTAGGATTTTCCAGGAATTCATAATATGTAATTTGGGGTGAATGTGTCCCTGTAAAACCCATAAAATAGAACCCATGGCCAATCTCTTCCTGTAGGTAATTGCAGGGTGGAGAGGGAACTGATAAACTATAAGCTTTTATAGCTGAAGTCATAAAAGAATCTGTTTTCACTTATCAATAAAGTAGCAATTCAAAGCAGTTCTTTTGAAATTCAAATACAAATACAAAATAGGTTTCCTTTAAGACTACTGTGAGTTATCCATAATATAATATTTTTCTTAAGTACCTGCACAGTAGCTTTTTATCCAGAAATTTTAAGTTATGTCGATTTTTCCCATCAGCACACTTCACTGACATTTATGTTTCTCCTAGACTTTTCCCCTTAATTCTGTTTTGACTATTCTAAATTTTTCTACCTGGCAAACTTTTAACATTCTGAGAATTTTATGTCACTGGAGGATTATAACATAACAGT